CTCTTGATAGAGTAGTTGTTGTAAATGTTCGTCGAGTGCTAGAGCCATAGGTAGGTAAGGTGGATGATGGGAGGGAAGCTTGGGATGAGATAGGACTGACCCTGCTGGGGATTAGGGTCAGCATTGGTTCATGGTCTCATTCAAAAGGCATGCAGACCAGTGTTGAGCCTAACTTGCGAAGCAGATGTCAGAAGTAAGTCCCAAGTATAGTTTTGCTTTGCAGCTTGTTCCTCATCTTTGTATAAATCTTGGCAGCCTACTTTTCCTACGGGAAGCGCTGTCGAAATTTCTGCAAATCTGAGGAAGTTAGTCATTTTTGAAGTCGTATAAACTCTGGGAAGACATTTTTCCTACGGGAAGCGCTGCCGAAATTTTGCAAAATTAGAGGAGTTAGAATATTTTCAGTCAGGTAGAGGAGATAGGAGTATTCCTCACTCATGCTGAACCTAGGAGCAATTTCTCTTTGACCTGTGCTGTGGGGCAGGCTGTACGCTTATTTCGAAGGTATGACTTTGTCAGCCTGACTACTCTTCTGTTATCACTGATAACAGGTCGGTTGCCGGTTCGTCGGTACACGACTCAATCTTCCATTTTCTTCTGCCTCTCAACCTAAAGCCTTGTCCCTGGCTGGTTTTCATGTTTCTTGGGTTTTCACCCAACTTCTTTATAAATGGGCATTTCTTGAGAACTGAGTATCTTTGTTTGGAATGGTGGGGGAATGGTTGGGCTTGTGTGCATAAGGCAGGGTATGAGTTGCACAAAGTTGGAAAGTTGACCCCCTTTAGTGTGTGCGCTGTTATTTGACTCTTGTGTGTGATCACAGGTATGTTTGAAGCATGTTGAATGAGTCTGATGTTCTGATTGTATTCAGTTCAGGCGGGTAAGCCACGTAAACTATTGGGAAAGTGTACTATCGCACAACTCTTTGCCTGATTAATCTCCTTGTCTATGTATTGAGGCTAGGCTCACGCTCGCATAGCCCTCACCCGGCTGTGCGAGTGCACACCTATGCCCTTTCTGTATCCCTGTGTAATCTAGCTAGGGGGAGGATAAATGTCTGAGCGTGAGTTTAAGTGTGGCAAGGGTGCGCGTGACTGTGGTCCTAAGATTCGGTCAACCCCAGGGAAAGCCCGCGCGCGAACATGCAACGCTCTGAGCGCTGGGTTGCTTGGGCACCCGGATTGAGCCCTACCCACGCGCGACCCTTCGCGTGACTTGTCAAGAATTGTGTGATGAGGCGGGGATCGCGCGAGAAGAGGAAGGATCCCTTCCCCTACTCCCGCGCAACCCACCTTTCCTTTTTTTTGAGTTCTGTAGACGGACGTTAGTCCTTGGGCCAGGAATTCAAGGTCCTTGTCAACAAGGACCCCGAACCAAACCCTGCGGCGGGGGATTTTTCTCTCATACAGGGCCTAAGTGCCCTGCCCACCAGGCCGCCTAACCACAAGGCTAGGGGTGCCCTGTGGGCCGAACGGCGTGTCCTTCAGTCGTTCAATATCGTGAGGGGCGAACCCCCAYGATATATTCCTTCAGCCATTYAATATCGCGAAGATATTTCAGCGACCGCTTGAGTTGGACAACATTGYTGGTYGATATGGGAAGGCCTAGTACCCGTGCGGATTATATTGAATCCGGCACGCGGCGCCGACTTGACTCCCATATCGAAGAGTTATTTATGGGTCTGACGACGGAGACGGAATCGCATGATGGGCAACAACGCGAAGAAGTGCGTAAGGATTCCACGTTCGAGCGCTCAGGCGCGCCAAACGTCGGTCCGCTTTGGGGCCAGGCTTGGGATTTGTTTGTGCACGGCTTCGTGCTAGCCTACCTTTAAAGGGTATCGCGGCGGACTACGGGCTAAGCAAGGTCGCTCGCCCTGACTAAGGCCTTGGACTGCTTCCTTCTTAAGGCTTTAATGGTTGGGCGTTGTAGCCCGTGGCAGCCGTCAAAGTCAAACCCCTTGATCTTTGGCTCAGCTTGAAGCTGTCTACTCAACCCCTCTGCACAGGGTGCAGAAGAGGGTGTGGTCCTCAACCGCTCATTGTGGTTGTCTAGCGCGGAGAGATTAACCCTTGACGCGCTTGTCAGCCGACACTTGAGTGTCGAAGGAAACCCTCGAACCAACTGAGGGCCACCCAAGCTTGGACGCCACATAGTACCCCATCACTGCAATCATTTGTGTAAGCATGCATGACTGGTTGGTATGAGAAGGCCGTGCGTTCGCGGGGTCCTTTATACTAAGTCCAGCGCGCAATGGCTACCTAGCGTTCGTGTTGAAGAGTTATGGGTCAGATACCAAAGGGACTGGGAGTTGTATTTTCTCTGTTTTGTTTGTGTGTGCGTGTGTGCGAGTTACTTGATTTTTGTTTTAGTGTGGTGTAGCGCGTGGTGTGCGTGAAGCATCCTAGTCGACCGACGTCAAGTCGAGCTTGGGACTCCAGCCCCCCAGTGTCGTCGGCTTGCGTACGGGTTCGATTTCGGGTGTATACCGCGCGTAACCCTTATGCTACAGCGAACGAGAAACGCCCTCGGCTGGGCCACCTCTGCAATTGCATTATAAAAGCTTTCGCATGTGGTTCAGTAGCTCAGCGGGGATACGCCCACCAAAGGGATGGTGACAGCTCCCGCTGGTGGAGGTAGCGGTGCCTCGCGTGGCCCTGTCCTGTCGTAGGGGCGCGTGAGAGGTACGGCTGGTGCACTTGGCCGGAGCGGCAACACGCTCTTCCGCGACAAGTCCTACCAAATCACCATTGCGTGTATCCATTTCAGGTGCACTCGGCGGTGACGCGGCCGGAAGGGTCCCCGTGTGGGACCGATGCGCTCGACAGGTGGGGCCGTTGCCGGGGATCTCGGCTGCCTACCGGGGTCCACAGTGAACGAACCTAGGTTAAGAGCAGGCTGATGATCCAGGCAAAAAACGACAACCTTTGATGAAAAGATTTTTCTCTTTGACGATGATTCGAGTATGGTAGCTTTCTCAATGACACGTTAGATTTGTCTGCCTTGATTGTGAGTAAGGTCGGAAGTGTGCATTGTGTGTATCCATTTCAGCGATAGGGTCAGAGTAATAATATAGACCGGATAGGTTACTTTAGTGAATAAAGATAGTAGTTGAATGGTGAAAGTAGGCAAGTTAGAGACTTGACGGCCGATTGTTTTGTTAAGACCTTTCGTCCCTCAACAGGTGTTTGAGAAAACGTAAAGATGGCGGACGCCGACGGAATTGACGGGGCCCGGGTGCTACACCTAAGGACTTCGTCAAGGCATTGGAAAAAAGAGAGATGGCACGGCTTCAGGTGCCCAAGGTTAACATTTTTCACTTCAACGGGGATAGAGTGTCCGAGTGGCTTGAGTTGCTGGAGCAGGTCACTAGCGAGGCGTCAGAAGCAGACAAATTCAAGCTGATGCCTAGGTATGTATGGGGGGAGCTTAGACATGAGGTAATGAAGGTAGCGGCCGACGCAAATGGTGAGTGGGCAAAGTTTAAAGAGGAGATGCAGAGACGTTTCAAGTTAGGTGACGGCCTCCTAACCAAAGAAGACCTGGAATTGTTGAGACGGGACGAGTTCTCCACAGTGGGGGCCTTCGCCACGACGTTTGAGAAAATGGCAAAGAAAGTCCCAGGGTTGGCAGAAGAGGAGCAGTGTGCCACTTTCCTAGGGCACTTCAAAAACTGGGAGGGCTCGTCGCTAACTAA